ACTAAGCAATCTAAGTTGTAATCTCCTCTCAAGTAATACAAGTGTTCATACATTCCCAAACTCTCTTGCTCACTTGTCTAATCTCTTCCTACACACCCAAGTAAGCAAAGTACTTGTCTAGTCTTAATCTTCACTAAGTTAGCACACTCGGGAAGGCTGACTTAGCGCTTCAAGGGAGCTTGAAAGTGTCTAAGGCCGCACGTGAGCTTGGAAAGATCCAAGTCCGTGGGCTAACTTTCAATATCACTAAATTTATCTGTACCTTTCAAACAAAAAAAAAAAGGAATCTACTTATGAGTGTGATTTTTATATATGTAATAATTTGCCCGTGTTTTGAATAAGTTCACAGTCTGTGTTTTTGAATAAGTTCAGTCTATTTAGACTCTGCTTTTCTTTGTTGTGGGATTCTGTATAATGTATGTAGTAAGCTGTAAGCTCCTTTATCTGGTTAATACTCAAAACTTACTTCTTTTAGAGCATGGAATTTCTTTTACTATTTTTTTTATAAAAAAAATTGACTGGAAAATGTTTAGAATAAACCCATTGTTAGTACGTGTTGTCTCAAAATCATTTAAACTTATTGGCCACCAATTTACACAACCAAAAACATGTAGAAATAGAGATTGAAGTATATATAGTATACTCATAAAGTAATGAACCACATAGATCATTCAAAAACCACCTCGGCCTTCTTCCACTGCCGCCTTCAACCGCCACTGTTGCCATTTCTTTGTAAAAATTTATAGAAGATAGTTAACAATAAGTATATATGTATATACATAGAAACATGTACCTGTTCCAGACAATAACCATTAGCAGGGCAATTTAGGTGCAGAAAAATAACAGTGGGCGCTTATAACTTCTAGGTTTCATTGTGAAAGACATGTTCGTTAGATTGTGTGATTCGACAACAAAGAAAAAGAGTCGTTATAGCTGAAATAGAAAAACCAAGATGGAATAAATATATATTACACACGTTTGGATGCATCATGTCCCAAATCCAACATAAAAACACATTAAAGAGCTAGAAATGCAGCTCAGCAGTCTTGGACAACGAACAGAAACCTGTGCTCAAGATCAGTTTCTTCGCTATTATAGAATCTTTGAATCTCAATCAGTGTTCCTTTTGTAAGGTACGTTTCACCAATCATTTTGCAATCATAAAGCACAAGTTGTTGCCATGATTATGAAAAGTACGTCTATACAAATATACCAATCATTCTGCAATCAAAAATCAATCATTCTGCAATCAAAAAGCAAAGTCTGTGCAAAATAAACCATGATAACTTGGCAATTGGCCATGCGTAGGAGAAAATAACAAAAACCACAGAATCAGATCAGATAGCATTTCGAGCATTTTCACCCACCTGAGGCGGCACATAGTAACTAGGGGACAACACTAAATGACCTGCTGTCATTGTTGCATTTGAAGGAAGAAGCACATAGTAACTAGGAGGCAGCACTAAATAACTTGCTGCCATTATCGCATTTGAACCAGCCTGCACAACAGATTTTTTGAAATGTCAGTCGTTATAGATGATAGCAAGTGAAATCACCTAAATATATGTCCGATACAAAATCTTATACCAAGAAATTGATGAGCAATAAACTCAAGACTAGCTACCATCTGTTTCGTTTAGTTTTTTAAAAACAAGTCTCAAGAACTCAGAAATGAGAAAACAGTTATCACTGGACTATTAAAAGACTATTTTACTAAACACTTGTCTATTAACTGAATTTTCAGAAACAGTTCTCATAAAACTGTCAACCAAACGAACTTTTTGTCATCATCAAATTATTATTATTATTTTTTTCCTTCAGATGAAAATAGAAAACTGAAGCAAACAGGCACTATGCATCTAGTACCTTTTATAATCCCACATTCCTGGTTTGATATCAGGGTGGTGGTGCCATATATGAAGTTTGGTATGGACCAACTCCTCCGATTGGCATCATCTAGTGCAACTCAAATCGTTAAAGCAAATAAGCATGGCAAATTAACAGCATTTAAATTTGTTGAGAACACATGCATGCACATATGAAACAGTTACATGTTTGTGTATATGTGTGCGCTTTTGTATAGATTGTTAAACTATAAATGAACTCTGGATTGAAGATGATGATCAAAATCAAATATCCCAAATGTTTGTGTTTTATAATTTAAAATTGAGATTGGACCCACAAAATTAAATTCAACAATTTATTGGCTAAAAACAAGAAAAAAGGTCCTTTAATTCACAATATTGAGAAATTTAAAATACGTAGTAATAAATTTGGACTTGAAGTTTGAATCATTATTATAGTTTTGCCTAAAAGATTTGAGAATTCAAATATTCAATTTGAATTTAATAATGAAAAAATAAAACTACATGATTCCTCGTACAACAAGATCTACATTATAAACTTGCTGAAACAAAGACTTAATTTACCTTTTCTGACAGTGAGTATATATATATATGTGTGTGTGTGTGTGTTGGCCTGGTGTGACTATATATATGTATGTAATGAAATGCACGGTTTACAAATTCCTACCTATATAAGAACATGTTTATTTATACAGTTAATTAATTATTTACTAGTGTAATAATTAAAATGCACTAGACTCCAATTTATCTTCATCGTTGCAATCTCTGTCAGGAGAAAACTCCATCCCACCCATGGTTGTTGAACTTGTAGGGACGAACCGGCCGGATCACTGTTTGAGAATCTCAAAGCAGATTCCCTCACAATTGCACTCAAGTCCCAATCTACTCTCATCTTTACAAAAAATAAAAAAATGTTATAGGTGATTTGATACCAAGGCACAATAATCTGCGACAACAATAACAGAACATCAATATTAGGGCTAACAATATAAAATTAAGTAAAGAGTTAACATAAAATAATTAAGCACATTGTTTGAATGAATCAGACTCTTCAAAGCTTCTATTCTTTCATTGATTTGCTCCCAAAGCCTCTGTTGAAAACACACACACTCACACACATATAAGGTCAGTGAATAACAAAAATTGAATAACTCTTAAAGAGATTACATGTCAAAGTTATTCAATCAATTTTATAATCACGTCAACCGCGCTACAAGAAAAACAGGGCTTCTACAAAGGGCCAAATGCGCCGCAAAAACATATTCACGGCGCATTATAGGCCCTCGTGTATGAGGGTTCGGTAAATACTTAAATTTTTTTTACGAGAAAAAATCAAGCTCGTAAAAAAATAATAGATTCCCCGTAAAAAACAATTTTGTCTATATAAATATGAATATTTTTTTGTTAAATAATTAATTTACGAATATTCACGAGGCACCATGCATACCGTAGAAAAGTTTTCTATGAGGATTTTTATTTTTATTTTTATTTTTTTTTTGTTACAAAATAATCGGTACTTGAATCATAAACAAATGAGATAAGTTCGTATTAAAAAAATCTTTAAACAAAAACTTAAAAAATATATTTATAATAATTTTATCTTTAGAAAACCAATGAATGTTTTAGTATTTAGAGAAATTATATTAGAATTTGACACATCAATTTTTTTTTTTCTTTAAAAAAAATATATGCGGATATGACACAACTATCTCTCATAAATGGTATATATTTTTTTTTCTTCAGAAGGTTAAATAATTGGTATATTTCATTATCTAATTCTTTAATTTTTCTTATTCGTATTTCTAGTTTATTATATAATGACCATTTTTGTAAAAAAAAAAAAAAAAATGTAATTATATTATATTTAAATTTTAAGAAATTTTTTTTACTTAAATTTTTTTTAAAAAAAATAAGAATTTATATGTCGAAGGTGTGGAGTTTGAAAGCTTTTTTGAAAAATTATTTGTGTAATCTATTTTTTTTATAATAAATAGTGTATAATTCAGTTAATTTTTTTATTATTATAAATATTTCATTTATAACTTTTCAGTCAAAATATTAAATTATTGTATCAAGTCCTGATATCTTTTGATATATGTAGATCTCATTAGTTAGTTTTATAATCCTTCATATTTTAGTTTATTATTTAAGTACAGTTTAAATATTTTTTACATTACTTTTTATTGAAAAATTTATTAGTATATGTTATTAATTTTTAGAGCAAGTAAAACTAATTAGATAAAGCATGTGCAAACTTGACATCCAAAGGCATATGAATTAACTTCTTTGTGTTTTTTTTTTTTTCTGTTAGTGGCAGTAAATTTTGAATCATACAAGGGCTTTCTCTTAACATGCAAAATAGCATGTATTCCAAGAGAGACATTGAATAGTCAATACACATGTAAAAAATAAAGAGTTCGGACTCTATTCAACCCTAAACAATTGAACAAAATATCATTATTTTGGTGTGTGCGCGCGCGCAAATTAGTCCTCAGAAAATAGACACTAAATACTGCACCTGTCTTGCTCATTAGACACCTGAAAGTTTTTAAAATTTTTGTTGGAAGATTAAAGGTGAGTTTTGGGACGGAAAAATAAATGAGGAGGTTAATCAGTGGGTCTGTTATATATGGGCTACACACGTTTAAAGGTTGAATTTTATCAAATTACGCATAAAATATTGAAAAAAAAAAAGAAAAAAAAAAAAAAGGGATAGACTAGTATATACATATATACTTGCACGATAAATTTCAGCATCATAGACTTAAAAATAGGAGTAATACTTTCCCAAAACTCACATATATACTAATAGTCGCTGAAATTTTCATCAGATCACTCTTTTAAGATGGAAAAAAATAAAAATAACACACACACACACACACACGAGCAGGGGAACTATTGATATTTTGTAAACAATAATTAAGAGTAGAACTCTTGGTAAGAAATACACTCACATTCAAACCGAATCTCAGCATCATAATAGGTAAAAAAGTAATTGGTCACGAGGACACTTGGTACTGAACCATTTCATGTCCGTGCAGATACTTCACCAGAATGAAGGAAAGAAAACGATACTGGTGACATTGTTGAACAAATTTGTGGTACCATTAACGATACAACAATAACAGAACAATATGAAGCTGAAATGACAAAAGATTATAAATCCCAAACAAAATGTTTGGATCGATCAATCATTTCCTTGGAACGCGTTCTAAATTATATATACACCCAAACAAGCAGTATATACATAGATAGGACATAGGTATTGACGTAGTTCTCTTTACAAATGTTGCGTACTAAGTTCTCAAAATCTGTATAACAATACAAGAATTTCAGTAAGTCCACATCCCGATTCTGCAAAGATGATACAGGCAGTGAGAGCATCACATTCCTAGACTTTTCCGTACTTCGGTTGATGATATATCCATGCGGAAATTCTCTGCTGGTATTGAGATAAAGATGTCTCTCAATTCTTCTGGAATACATAAATCTTCGAGAACCTGTAGAAATATTATACGATAACGTTGCTAAATATTCCAAAGACATCAAAGAAAAAAAAGATGAGCAGGATTGCTTCACAAGCTTTAGGGATGTCCACAAACCTTGAAAACCCCATCTACATTTCGACCACCCACAAGGAATATGCATCCTGTTCTTTTGCATCCGATAAGTATATCCAACATCTTCTCATAATCCCCACCATAGTACTTAGGCTGGAAAGTGACAAGAATTACTTGTAAGGATCAGCTAGAATAATACACAATGTTAACCTTTTTATAAAAGCACCTCATTGTCATTAAGAAACGAAAGCATTTGTAAACAAGCTCGGGTCACAATATTGATTGATTTGTTTATTTACTGGGTTTAGATTCTAGACCACTCTCACATTAAGGTCAGAAATTTCTATGTTGGTTGGATCTCAACTGTTTCCCCTCATCGTTGAAATAGCGGTAGAGATTTCTGTCTTTTGAAGGGTGGTGGCTGGAAATCTATAGTTTAAAACACGAGGGGACCTTTGGAGATTTAAGGTCTACCATTTGCAGTGTGAGCAAGAGAATAAAGGAAAAAAGAGGTTTGGTTGCACAAGCAATGGAAATGAACCAATAAAAATCCAAATGCAACAGCACAACAGAAATATCAAATACAAAGGAATGTGTTCAAAAAGTGTTGAACGAGGAAGAGATTTGATTAACCTACCAACAAGAGAAGAAAGACAGAATAAGAATTTCAAAGATTATGTAGAACTTCGTACTTAATCCCTTAGATTAAAAAAAAAAAAAAAAAAATAGAGAAATAGAAACAGATGAGAAAACACCACAAATGGAATCAAGGCAATTTCAAGGTTAGTACTGTGGAAATTACACTCTTATTGTAAAAATGGTAGAATCCAGGGCCGGACGTGAGAAAAGGTGGTCACATAATGAGAAAATCATTTAAGAAAGGAGGAACAAGGATAATAGGAAAGGTAGAATTGTAACAGAGGATGAGTAGGAGAAAAAAGAAAGAAGAACCCATAAGGTAGACAAGGGTCAAGTTTTATCCAAAAACGTTGTTATACAAGGACGTGGTTGGGTTTTCATAGAGGATAGAACCGGTAAAGCATTTATTTAAGAGAGGACAGTTCAAACCTTATAACATGCATAAATGAGAGTAGATACTCTTACATAGGCAACATGTATTGAGATGTATCACGGCAAAGGCACACAAAAATCAAGTTTTCTCTGTAAAGCTTATTCTAAAATGATGTACTTGGGTTTTCAGAGAGAGAACCATAAACCATGTATCCAAGCGAGTACACTTCTAACATTATAAGATGCACTCATTGTCAATATATTTGCTGATAAGAAGCCTTTAACCATACATTTGCCCAAAATCTATGGTCTTGTTCCATCTTAATTCAAATGCTTTCTTAAGCTATCAAGTGTAGGCCATGTACAAAATTAGTTGGGATGAGCATACCTCCCAAAAAAGGAAAAGGTGATGCACCTACCAGTGTGCACCAAAATAGGAAATAAGCTAAAAGAATGACCACAAAGGGATCTAATTTACGCTAGCATTCTTTTCATACATGCTTTTCAAAGTTCAATTGTGTTGTGGACTGTTTTGTTCTTAAAGTTCTATTTTTTATTTTTTATCTTTCTTTATATTGAAGATTTAATGGATGAATCAGTGGAGGAAAATCTCTCAGTAGTTGGTGTTGTTTCCTATTATTGAAGATTTAGTGTCACTAGAGGAATCAGTGGAGAAAAATCCTCTTTGTTTCCTATTTTCTAATTCTTTCCATTCTCATAATTTCTTCTCCCATATAAAGGAGCCTCCACCATTGTATTGTATTTGAATTGAGATAGTATTATAAAAGTGATGTAGCCCTTTGGGTTCTTTGTGCCGTGGATGTAGGCCCTAGTGGTTGAACCACGTAATATCTGTGTGTTCTACTTGTTTTATTTATCTCTTCGCTTCCGTTTTATGCTTTACAACACCTTATGTAACAAAAGTTTTAGGCTTTCACTGTCAGTACATGAAATAGGAGTTGTTATCATTCCCATTCGTTAAAGTTCTATCAAGTTTGTGCATGATCTTATTTGAATGTTCATCCTTTTTCATTTCTAAAATTTCTACTTCAATAAAAGTATTGTATGTGTTACTACTTGGTGTAGATAAATAAATGTATACCAATCAGTGATTTATAACAGTTAGAAAGTCTGATGTCAAGTTCTTTCAAAACTTTTGGGTACCCCAAGACAAGGTAATCAGGATAGTTTGTTCAAGTTAGCATCCCTAACTCAAACTTCTGTCTTTCTTCTGTAGGCAAGAAATGGATTGTGAATGTACTTCCAGTGTAGACAGAAATAGAATATATATATATATATATATATAGGACCATCAAAAATAGTTACAAAGACTGAAAATGCATCCATAAAATTCACATTCATTCATTCATTCAATAGTCAATACCAAAATTAAGATGTAAAGGATACATCCCCACATATAGCCTAATTGAGAAGGTTGCTTAAGATTGCAGTACTTAGTAACTATGAGAAATGTAACCTAGGAGGTGACAAGCAGGCAGGTGAAGTGACATGTTGGTGATAAGCATGCTGGTGACAAGTGCATAAATTTTGTTAGTCATTTTTACCTTCTAATTTTACTTATCAAAAAAAAAAAATTTACCTTATAATTTTGAACTTTTATCTCTGACAAGCGGACTATTATGAAGTAACCTCCTTGGTAAGTAGTTCCTGTAGCCTTGTGGAAGCCTCTTTTGTTGTTGCTTCTTGTCACCAACTCGCTCGTTGCCTACATGTTCATTACCTACTTGGCCCCAACTTGTCACCTCGTAGGTTATTTTTCTCATAAGTACTTCACTCTTAAAGTAACCTCCTAAGTTAGGTATATTTGGGGATGCAACTTTTAAGATTGCTCCGTAGTGTGAATGCAACTAGTTTCAGGTTGAATTAATCATTCATTATCTGGGAGTGTGGCATTTTCCTTGGCTTAAGCTGCCACACTAGCTAGTGATTATTTTCCTAGCAAGTGAACATTGACTGCATCAAAACATGGGACTAAGTAATCTCCTAGAGTTTCCAGCTCACATTTAGCATAACTGTAGTACAAATTCTATAGAAGTTCAAGCAAATCATAATTGTAGCAGTATGAAATTCCTTACATTAACAAGCCTCGCTGCCGTATCTGCACCAATTACGAAAGCACTTCCAGGAAAATGTTCAGCTTTCTTATAAAAGTAAGGCTGATTGGAAATAATCACCGTCTTTCCTGCACTTTAAAGCTTCAAGTCATTACTAGGAAAAAAAGGAAAAAAGATTCAAGTCATTACTATTTTATTTGGAAACAAGTAAAATAATTACCTAACAGATTAACAACTTATCAGTATTGCCTAGAATATGTTTCTATAAGCAACTTCACAATCATGATGGAAAAGAATACGAGTTGCAGAAACTAGTGAGAAAACTCAACGAACTGCCCAAACTGTGGATTAAAAAAGACTAAAAATTACAATAATAATAAAGGGACAAAACATTGGTCACAGCCACAATAGAAAAAAAAAATTATTTAATATGACCGAATGGCTACCAAATGAAGTTATAGGCCATTATACATCAGCAGCAATTTGGACCCCAATCTAGTTACAACAACGAAAAGAAATGATTAGTTAGATCGCTTTTCTTTATTCTGTTTTTGCACCAGTGTAAAGTTTAAACAGGGTACTTTCTTTAATCTAAAGTAGAAGAGCAGCATGAATAATTGCTAAGCACCACTTTCAAATTTTAAAATGATTATGAAGTTAATTGGGTGAACTAAAATGACAGAAATTTCGGTTGGACGGTGTTAGCAGAACGTGGTCTTTATATAATGGGCATGTGTTGGTATAGTTTATGTAGGTGAGGGGTTTTAGGAACCCTGCTACATCAGCAAGTAAAGCCACGTCACTCTGACCTGGTCACTAGCAAGGCTCACAATGGCGTGGCTTGAATGCCACTCTTGGGTTGGTCTTCCACTGATCAGTTCGTCTAATATATCCCGTTTATTTTTTTATTTTTTTGGATAAACCTCTGACTTGCAAGGAGTCCCTCCCTACGGGTAAACCTCTAAACTGGTGAGGAGTTCCTACCTACAGAAAAACCTCTAACTGACAAGGTTCCTCCTTACAGATAAACCTCTAAACTGGCAAGGAGTTCATCCGTATGAGTAATCCTTGAGAAAAAGGGGGACCTCGTGACCCGCGAGTGGTGTGGAGGGGGGGGAGAGAGATGTCCCTCCCCCTCTGATCTCAACGGAGGAGAGGGCCATTCCTTGGCCTGTTACAGAGAAAGGAAGAGTAAATGTGAGGTTCCCCTTTGTCAGAAGGGCATTTAATCCTGTGTCCCCAATTGTCACCTTAATAGTACAGCCAAACCGACTCGAGACATCTTTGGGTCAAATTCCCTTTTATCAGGGACCAGTGGACAATTCTTTTGACCAATAGTCTTTACCCAAAGCTGACCCCCTATAAATAGGGTAAGAGTTAATGCTATAGGGAGAAGAAAACCAACCCTACTACTTCTCTTTGGAAAAGACTTGCTTCGTTGGCCTCAGACCTCTGAAATAACCACAAGAGTGGCCTCTCCCTCTCTTCCTCAAACCCTTGGAGTAGGGTTCCCTCTGTGACAGATCAAACTTCCTCCCAAGTATCTACTCATTGGAGGGCCCATCATAGACAAAGTGATTCTCATCTCTTAGAACCTCACTCCTACAAGTTATAAGGATGTACTGGTGTAAAAATTGAATTAATTAGTTAATTGGAGTCCAGTCTTCCCACACATTGAATTTCTCACAGACCACTTGAGTTTGATCGTTTCTCCTAGATGTTCTCACCTAGTGTTTCAATTAACCTTTGGTTTGCCTATATTTTTAGCAAAGTTTCTTCCTTGTCTTTTTCTTTTACTTTCTTAAGAAAATTCGAAGTCTGTTGAGGCTTTTTGCTGGATAAATGCATGTCCGAAAGCTTTAACATCAACAGGCTAAGATAAACTAATGAAACATGCTGTGAAGAGGAAGCTGGAGATGGTGGTAGAAAGGATTGGGACCATGGATGTGTGTCTTGTTGAGATGGGATTGTGGTCATATAGGGATGAGCACCAGGTTTGGTTTATCTAGACGCAAGACATGCAATCAGCATTGATGGTTATGGTGCACAATATATGGGGGGAAATGCCATAGAAAATGTGGGGAAAAAAAAAAAAAAAAGATGAATATGGAAGTTTTTCAATGGTTCCAATAGTGAATTAGCAAGTGAGAAAAAGAAGTTGGTGAGATGGCATGCAGTTTAGTGGTTAATTTTTTTGTCTTAAGAGAGACAAAACAGAGAAGGGGATGATGAGGTTAAATTGGTGATATTTCTCATTAAGTGCATATTTGACTTTGTCTCTTTAGTTTAACGACGACAACTTAGGTGTGTTTAAAAAACTGTAAGATGGTGACAGTAAAATTGGCCATTAATATTAACAGTTGAATGATGAGAAGAACCTATGAGCAACAAAAATATCCAAAAGGAACTGCAGTACAACCTTAATAATTACCAGAAATGTCATTGCATTGTCCAAACCCAAGGGAGGCCAGTGTTAATGACCCTAATTAATTTTATGTTATGTCTAACTACAAGGTAAGTATATTACTTGCAGCCTGTCTAAAGCCCCCAATTTGCATTCATCAACAAACACAGGAAAACTATTCTCTATGAATTCCAATTTCCAACAATGACAATGCAACCCCAGGCCTATTATGATTGCCTAATATGGTGGCATTCCATGTCCCAAACTATTGCAAAAAGTTCAAAAGAAAAATAACCCACATCAAATGTGTGGGTCTGAAAACAGAACGGATGAACTGGCCTCACCAACTTTCTGAAATTGCTTAACACGATCTTTGATTTGAGACACTGTTAGAGGAGGTTTGTCTGCATTTACTGCTGATATCTCAAAGCATGGATATCCATCACCACAAATCCTGCATAAAATAAATCACTCATGAGAAGTATCATCTATACATATTTTTAATGGCATGGTAAATTTCTTCAATGTATAGAAATGCCTTCACAAAACGAAGTTTAACATATATGTTCCATCATACAAAAATTTTACTTCAGGCTCAGGGGTCTTAATTGAAATAAGAAAATGGGGAAACAGAGTTTCCCCTTTATGCTGTGTTCGGTAGGAAGGAAGGAAGACGTGTGGAGAGAAAATAGGAAGGAACGAACTTCCTTTGTTCGGTAAAGATGATACAAGGAAAGGAAGGAGAATAGGAAGGATGACCATCCTTCCTCCTTTACAAATTTTCATCCGCCCAAAAATGAGCGGAAGAAAGGAGGGAAGACAAGTAGACTATTATAGAAGTTTTAAATTAAATACCTATCCTCTATAAATTACAATATTATAAATAGTATTGGATATAATAGTAAAAACAATTAAAACTTTTTATTTCCTTATCTCTTAACGAGCATAGTAAATTTTCAGCATATTCTCTTCTCTTCTATCCAACCGAACAAAAAGAAAGAAATATACAATCTCTTCCCTAGGGATGTCTCATCTATCAATTCTTCTCTCCCTTCCATTCAATTTTTTTCTTTCCTACCGAACAGAGCATTAAGATATTTAAAAATACCCCTTTTGCTTGATTATTTTTTAATAATGTTAAAATTGATTCAAATCATACTAAAATCAGAAAGCAGAATTTTACATGCTAGGTAAAGAAAGACCACATATTTCCATATAAAATTCTCTGATCATATGATCGAATGTAAAGATGTTTAAGGCCATTCTGAAGTTTTAGATATTATAAGGTGAAGACGGGTAATAAAGCTAGGAACGTCATCTGATACAAGCCCAACTTAAAAGAAAATAATGATTTGGGCCAACATGACAAAGTTGAAGTATGGGAGCAGCAAAGCCATCCACATAAAATAATGCTATAACCTATTCACAGAGAAATACACAGAAATTATATGAATTGGTTTACTGATACACAAGTTGAGGTATAAAAACCCAGACAACACTACCCTTACAAAAAAAAAAAAATTAAAAATATATATATATATACTTAAAAGAATGGGTAAATTACACAAACCTCCCTTGAGGTTTACCATAATTACACTGACCTCCGCAAGGGTTTAGAAATTACTCTAACCTCCCTTAAAAACAAAACGTTATTACATGGACCTCCCTTTTTAACGGTCAAAGTTGTTCAACGACAGAAAATGCTGATGTCATGCATTTAACATTATTGGAATTCCAGTATTGCCCTTCATTGGAATGAAAAGACTATTTGAACCCTCTCGAGAGATGTTCAATAACAAAATTACCCTTATCTTGCAGTGTAACTGTTATGCAATCTTCACCTCTATTTCAACCAGATCACTCAATTTCATCAGTTCTGGGACAAACTAATAGCAAAAGAAAAAACAACAGGAAGAAGAAGAATAATCATATGTTGTTTTATGTCAAGTTATTATTTGAGGCCACGTGTGTGTGAGTATATATAACTAAAAGTTACATATGTGTACTGTGTGTGTCTATATATATATATATATAACTACAAGTTAACTGCATTTATATATATATAGCTACAAGTTCACTGTAAATGCCCTAGAGTGCTTAATAGAAAGCAACCATGTGTCAACTCAGCAAACTACAAGCAACCATGGGGAGTTCTGACTCGCAATTTGAAGATGGGGACTAGACGACTAATATGAGAATCTCGTGATGATGAAGGCAAGAAGCAATTCAAGCAAGATCGACAGTATTAGAAAATTCTAGAGAGGCAACGGTTGGTGTTCACTGGGTTTCAATTGATAGGTGTTGGCTTGGGGGTTCAATGGTGAGTCATTGACGATGGCGATCGACTGAGATGTGTTTCTCAGTTAAAGATAGAAACGACAGCAAGGGTTCTGCGATGTTTCCTTGGTGTGCTTCTATAAACTGATTGGGACTCTATTCTGGGTGGATTGGCGCTAATCGGTTGCATGATTTTAGCAGATTTCCACAACTACACAACCAAATGATGAACATGATGGCAATTACAGGCAAACGACGACGCCCTACAACAACGACCACCACACAACAACGATCAACAAGACGCCGATGACCTTCAATGGAAACCACACAACGACAGCGATGACGAAATTCTCTGTATGATAATGACGACAGTTGGACTCATAGTCGGCCATGATGATCAACAATACTACTGACCCAGACTTCACGCATTATTTTTCAATTCCCATCAAATCAATATACTGTTTCAATAAACCATAAGACCAAGACCACCAAATTCCACTCAAAATTAGAAATTTCAGAAAATTAGGGTTTGCAGAGACCTTCATTAATGTGTAGTGTGGTTTCTAATTACAGTTGTAATCATTATTTCCATGTTTACCAGCTTGAACATTGTCATCCCCAGAAAGAATGGGAAAGTGGGGATTCGAATGTTAGGGGTATAATGAGTTGGGTAACATTGTAATTTCAAGTCAATATTGAGGACATTTAGGTAAAATTAGCAATTCAATTCTGTTAGTCAATTTGACAGACCGTCACTAGTAGGGGTGTTTGTGTAACAAGGTTTCGTTTTCAGGGGAGGTTGAAGTCTTTTTTAAAACCACAGGGGAGGTACATGTAATTATGGCAAATGTCAGGGAAGGTCAGTGTAATTTACCCTAAAAGTATTTACATATTCGACATATATAGTCAGTAATATTTTTTTCAATTAAATTGACATGATTATGTGTTAATGCATATTACGCAGACTTGAGAAATGAATATTGTTACTTAATCAAGGTCAAATGTATACACTAACACAATCCTCTTATACAAATAAAGATTTAACAGTCATATGCTAATAATAGAAAGTTTTATGTACCTGCCAGCATTGCAGTGCCTAAAGATAAACTTTTCAGGTATAGAGAGACAACCTATATTTCAGTGACTCTTGAAGAAATAGAGGAATCTACCCAACATGCTAAAGGTAAAAACAAAAGAAAAAAGATGCACTTTCCTACTCCATTTCTATGAAATAATTACACACAGAATAAGAACTGGGAAACAACTCCCATACCTCCAGTATCACACAAAACTATAAATTTTTTTCTTTTGAAAATGAAAAGAGAATTAAGAAAAGATAAGATAATTTTTCAGAAAGGCTACAAACCTGTCATGCCTATACCTATAATGCACATTTAATTCACCAAATGATTCAAAAGTGAGTAAATCGTTTCAGAATCATAATTTCCAGGAAGTCATCCATTTACCTAGTAGCAACTTCCAAGAGCTTTAGATGACCATCATGTAAAGGATTAAATGAACCAGGTAGGATTATCTTCCTTTCTGAATTTGACACATCCTTCTCTGCAAAACATTATTCGAAAAAGAAGAATAAACAAAAGGTTAAGTGTCACTTAATAGAGGTTGGTACGACATAAGGGTTAAACCATACCACTTGAAAATGGATAAACCTTAAAGCATATTTGCCCACTTATAAGTTGCTCTAGTTGTTGATCTTCATCAAAGTGCACTTCACATTCATCAGGAACTTCAGATTCAGACAATTCTGAAGCATATGTTGCTGGAACGTTGCAAGCATTTGCAATTGCCTGTAATGAAAAGATAAATGACAATTAGTCAAGATTGGTGGCAACAGAGGATAAATGAAACTTCGTGACACAACAGAAGTATCAGAATTACAAATTTTAAGAAAGATATTCATGCTATATCCAAGTTTTGTCATGGCAAACATTGGTATATCCACAGTTAGGACACTAGAACTTTCCATGTAGCAAATCTCGTAATATATAATAGCTAAGGTATACTGATCCTAAGCTCTACAATATATTGGACAAGTTCCATTCTCATCTACAATAATCCTTTCCTGCAGATATGACAATTTTCACAAACCATGCATGCAATCCATGGTATTAAAAATAAATTAATAGTTTAGACTTTAGAATGGCCATCTCTTTCAGATATCAAAGCATAATAATTCATGATTATATTATAAAACATTTATCTTCAAATAAGCATTTTGCAACATAAAACAAAAGAATCATTATGATTCTTTCGCAAAGTATGAATCAGAACAGTTACATCTTTAAAATTTATCACAAACCTTGAGTAAAAACTGACTTGAAACCCTATCTTCTTGCTCTCTAGTTCGCAATCCCTGAATTGATTCATTAAAATGGAGTATATATGACTACTGAATATTTACAATGAAAAGCTGAATTTCACCGGTAAAAAAATAATCTAGTAATACCTTTAAAAAGGTAACTGTAGAAAAGCACATCCAGTCTGATGTCCTCGTTGACAAGTGGAACCTATACATGCAACGAGAATCTGAATCTAAAAATGCAATAGTTAAGATCTAAATCTAACTTGAACAATCAAAATTAACTTCACAAACAAGTTGAGATCAATAATCATCTGTTAGAGCTGAGGAACAAAATGCATTCTAAGGGACAAAGGTTTCCATGTCAAAATCTAAAAGAAAAAAGGTCAAAAATGCACTACAATAACAATATATACTTATATATACTTAACAACAAAAGACAATAATGGAGCAAAATACATATCATATATTTAGATACAAACAAAAAAGACACCGATATAGTGTAATTTTACTGCAATACACTTTTCATAGGAAACATAAAATTTATAAAAAGTGTGGACAAGGCACCCTTACCTTGAAAGAGAAACAAACTAGGAAAGAAAACCTTGCATCATGCACAATAACCCAAATCAAGCAGGGTAGAGAGGACCCCTCACACATTCAAGGGATCTTAACCGCACCCCCACCCCCACCCCCACCCCAAGTAATGAAATCTGAACGACAGTTACACAACCTATGCAATATTCTCAACTACTAAGGATGAGCTTTTTAACACAGGTTTACAGTAACTAAAAGATTTACAACTACCCTGGTGGCTTTTTCTTTTCCTTTTAAATAATGATAAAGATAACATTGTGATCGTGTAATGGTGTAAATGGAAAGTATAAAATAACACAACGTTTAGTGAACTACCCAGTAAGGTAGACACAAGATCTATGAGAATTGATGTGGAAACCCTCTCAAGTAAGGGAAGCAACATCCACTTTTCTGACTCCTCCAACAATTCTTTTAACCCTGTCTTCCCAAACTGACTGGAGCAATGCAAGCTCACACATGTCCATATCAAATCATTTCTTTAGTGCCCATGCACTGAGACTCCAAAACTCCATAACTTCCCTAACAGTGACATATCCCGAGACATGCCAAATCCCCAAAATGAGATCCAGATGTGGAATTTGACAATAGATAAACAACTAATCTACTGACTATGATTGTTCTTAGCAAAGGACACAACATTCAAGAGTAAAAGGAAGACAGTAAGTCCTTCAAACAAGTAGGAAAGAGCAAGGAAAAACATAATAACACCCCACAAACAACGTAGTGATTTGATATAAAATGATCAGGCTGAAGCCCCATCTGCGTCCTCATTTGCGAGACAGTGCACTCAACTGAAAGAGACACCCACCTTCCTACAAGATAAAAGATCTCTCTCATGTATTATTCCCTTAATACAAAGAAACCTGTAAACATTCAGAAGCCAAACAGATAATGGTTGAGAATTTCCCTTCAATAAGAATATTTGTAAAGCTTGAGCCTTGCCACTAGAAGACCCATCATAAGAGGCTCAATTTGTTTTCATACTAAATCTCGGACTCATGGTATAATAAATTTTAATCATCACCAAAAATAAATATAAATAAATGATATAAAAAATAAAAAAAATAACAAAGAACAAAAAGAATGAAGAAGGATAAGACTCCAAATACCAATAAGAGACAAATTTTAAGGGAAAAAAAGGATCAATCAGAGATGAACTTAATTTATCTAGTCATGAAAGTCATTACCCAATATTGATCCCACAGAAGAGGAAGATTGGAGATAGACCTAATATTTGGCATTTATTTTAGCATAAAGTGATTGCCTTCAGGTTTGAACTCAAGTCCCCATGCTTTTGAGTCCAAGCTTTTACCATGGCCCCTAAATTTATTGAGTAAAAGAGATTTAATCACAATGGTCTCTGGAAGAACATACAATTTCTCAATGTTGCATGGTAAAAACCAACTAGACTTCTTTGTTTAAGAGGCCCAAAAAGAAGATATAACATAAAATTGTTCAAAGTGGAGTTTTTTTTTTTTTTTTGGGGGGGGGGGGGGGGTGTGGTGAAGTACTATAACCTCCCCTAAGGTTTTGGCAAATCACCCTTAGATGAAACTTTTGCAAAACTATGACACCCCTTGTTAGAGTTTGTCAAATTAGCAGTGTCAAATTATTAATTTTATTGATATTTTTACCCTCAAAATTTTTTTTGTGTGTCTTCAATGATTCTTGCATTTCTCTGCAACCATAGTTATTGAATTGTGCTTGACATGCCATTTTGCCCACATAGGGCGTTAAAGAATAAAAAATGTGAAACTAGAGAACATTACAACAAGTCAGTCGATATGATTTTCCTTAACAATATAGTTGGCCATGATCCAAAACATCAACTGTAGATCCACTAATACGTTAGTATGATCACTTTATATGATTTCTCTTAAACTCCATTCAACGTAAGAAACCTCCATCCCCAAGTCCTTAGACTCCTTACCACAGGGGATCCACTGTGAAAATATTTGTTCACCATTAGTCTCTATTTAAATTCTCTTAAAAGACATCATGCCAGTTCTCTCTACCTCAGCCCACATTGTTTCTCAATTCCAACAAAACATGACTGTGTAAAGGAGATGAAAGTGAAACCAATCCAGGCTAATAAGCTAACTTTTAATCACTATTAAATCCCCATCAATGGTAAATGATTATTGTGAAATAACAACTTCTTTACCCACTCGGACACTTTCCTAATCCAAACCCAGTAAAAAAATACAAATTTATGTTTATATATTAACATTAAATTAAAGCTTCAAATTAATATATATATATATATATATATATATATATATATATATATATATATATTCATAATACCTGTGTTTCCCAAGTTTTGGGCGTGTGCTAGCCAAAGAACCAGTGAAACCCACACCTAGAACAGGGGAACCTGTCGAATGGATAAAAAAGACGCAATATTAAGCACAATAGTGATAGAAAATTCTATTTAGCATATAAATGTTACCTATGAAATTCATGTTTTCAGCTAACATACTTAGGTAGTGGAAGTACTTGCACCTGACTATCAGCAGTAATTATACAATAAATGCTGAGATTATATCAGACAGCTTCTAAGAGTTTTGGCTCCAAGCAGAGCCGCTCCAAAGCAATACCAAAATACAGTGTCCACTAACAATGTAGATATGGTTCATGTTGGAATATTATATAATAAAATCCAGAAGTTTCCAACTTCAGAGCTGATCTTAATATTTCATTTCAATGTTACTTATCTAAACACAATGTACGATTCAGTCATTCATTCAACCATCAAAAAAACGAAGATACACCCCTTTTTTTATACTAGTTCCTACTTAGAACTACATGACTCTTAGACTCCATCATGGCAGTGACTATAAGAGTCAAAACCCTTTAACATCTTAAACCAATTAATATATACGTCATTAGACTGACTTCATTTATATGTTTTTCTTTACAAATGGAAGTCTTTTATATATTTTACTCGATTTTTGCCCTTAAAATGTAAAAATAGAAATTCATCATCTTTGAACACGATATGAATCTCATGATTGCACAATAAGGGTCGTAGTGTACACCAATTGTGATCACTTGACAAGCTGATGTACAATAACTCCAGAAACAGTTTCCATTGCCAACCATTTGAACCCAAAAGAAAAATTAAAAATGCAAACTTCTAGAGACTGAATGGATTAACAGCATAATACCTTTGAGTCCAAAACTCATATCTCGACAGTAATTTAACAGTTTCCAATTAAAGTAATTGATTATTGATATAAATTGCAAGAATTCTAAGCTGTATGTCTTGTTCAAGTACAAAATGATGAGGTAAACCTGGGTTAGAGAGCTTGAGTGCACGATTATAAGCCAATAGTGCCATTTCCTCTGCAGTTTGGCGACTAGAGAATTGGGCAGGAACCTGACACACACAGACAAAGGTACATACCCCAAATAGCCAATGAGAAGAAAAATTAATAAAACAATGATAGCAATTACCAGAATTTTCTGGATGATTTAAAAGAAGAAAAAACTGTTGGAAATGAAATTTTAAAATTTCTAATTAAGGTGAAAATTAATGTTATAGTTGATATACATACATACATATATATATATATATATATGAAGAAAATTGATGACTATCGATTTGAAGGGAGTGATGAAAAAACGACCTTTCCGAGCAATTGGATCATGGACATTCTTGAATAAGGGACCACAGCTTCAAGCACAGTGTTTGAAGCTCCAGGTACTGACATCAAGCTTCCTAACGACTGCATAAATTTGATGCTATCTCATTATCAATCAGTATATATACATAGATATATATATATATATATATATATATATAATATATGTGTGTGTAGAGAGAGAAACCTGAGAAGCTCCGCCGGAGAGATAGAGAACAGCCTGAGTAGGGCTCGAGTGGATTGCTTCCACAAGAGCTCGGATCCAACCGTCAGTCATCGTCCTCACCGAGTCTCGATCATTGACCAATACGATCACACAATTCAGATCCTCGTCTCTCTGTGTAATTTAGCTTTGTCGAGACGCAGTCGTTTTGCTTCCAATTGAAGCAAACCAGTTGTTTTTGGCTTGTACAAAGTACTACAGTATTATTCTCTTTTCAAAAAATAAAGTACTATTATTATTCTTCTTTCATTTATTCACTTGTTTTATTAAATTAACTTAGAACTTTTTTTATTTTTCTTTTTTTTGCTTACCCTTTAACCAAAAAAATTAAAAACTTAGAACTTTTTTTTCTTTTTGGCCTGCTCTCGTACTGGAAAATTATCTGTACAAATTGCTTGAATTTTTGTAATTAAAAAAAAAAAAAAAAAAAAACACTAGGAGATATATAAGCTTAAGCCATTAGACACACAGTAATAAATAAAATTTATACATCTTTAACACAATTATTTACTTGTCCATTAATAATTGGCTAAAGCAATAGTCGTAAGAGCATGTAACAACTTCTCACATTTGTTATTCTAAAGAAAATAAAAAATTGCTCACTCTTGTGGAACAATTCCTCCAACCCGGCCCTAATGGGACGGATTTAGTAGTCCCCTAAATGGGTTTAGGGAATATGATAAAATAACTGAAAGTCTAAAGGGGGTTTGGTGCAAGAGCAGGTGCGAATTTAGTGATGAACCTGTCCTAATTATATATGTACTTTTAAAATTTTATATATATATATATATATATATTACATTTTTAAGATCCTTGTTATTTAATATTTACGACTTAATAATTTAAAAATTATGCCAGCTTATTTTTCAACCTAATATGAACTAGTTTTTATTATTATTATTAGATAATAACAATGACATAACCCATCCCGTAATTAAACGAAGTACGCAGAGCGGAGTCCGTACTTTGTTTACCAAGTAGGGGAAATAATATTCATATTACTCTGTATTCCGAAGTAGGCACTGGCGGATCCAGCGTAGGGCTGGGCTGGGCTCCAGCCCACCCAAAAAAAAAAAAAAATTATTACTATGGGTATTTTTATCCCAGTCCAAAAAAAAAATTTATTATTAATATTAGCCCACCCAAATAAGCCCAAGTCAGCTAAGCCACAATACTAAAATAAAGGCCCAAGCCTAACAAGCCCTATTAATGATGAGTATTAGGATATGAAGTAAAATATATTTTGAGATAAAATTGTTGTAAAGGCAGTTCTCAAATTATATATATAGAATAAATTCATAATTTCAACACTTTCAAATTATCAAGAAAAATAAACAAGAGCTCCTGTGTTTATCTAGAAAGTTTTCAACAAACAAACAAAAAAATCTATGGCATTATAAACTACGAAAATTTGATGATTTTGATCTCTAGTAGACAAGGAGTATTAGTATAAAAAAAAACATCGAAATCCTATAATTCACAAATCAAAGGTTACTAACTTATTACAGATTTAGATAAAACAAATATAGATAGGTAACGGTTAGAATTTCAAATAGATTTATAAAATAAAACCACAAACAAAAATTACAATAATTCAATCTCTAAAACCAAATATGAAACGTATTAAAACATAGCACGATAGGAGATGGATTTTTTGCTGATTGCATGACCGTACGGGACCTTGTTTGAAAATTTTACTTGGAGTCTATTATCGACGAATTCGAGTTTTTAAAGACTCGTCAAACATAACTTAGATAGATATTTTGTAATATTTATATTCAAATATTTATTTAGATTATGTTATAAAAAAATTTGTTTAACAAATTGTGTTATTAAATTTATGTTTAATTTTAGCCCACCCACTGAAGATTCTTGAATCCGCATGGGAAGTAGACATAAAGTTGGTGATATGACTAATTTTTTTAATTAATGAAATAAGATTTAGGTAAACCCATCCCGAATCTGCAGATTGCAGTCCCTAAGAACAACAACCAACTCTCGTAAAGAGTTGAATTTTGCTAAAGAAGGGTCGATATTCAATGGTAGATGACGGAGGTGTTGATGATGGGTAATAAGTTTGTTTCAAATTGTGTGTTGGTTTGCAGTGAAACAAGGTACTGCCTTGCTAATAATTAGGCTTTGCAAAGGACGATCAACATGACTCCGTGCTGCATTCAGTGACTGGGTCAAATGTAAATAAAGGTCACCACCGCAATGCACGGAGGGTTTCCAGTCGGAGAGAACAAAACCAGAACAAACGCACACAGCAATGGAAGCATAAATGAAAGATATACAAGTAAGACTTGTCATGCCAGTGGTTGTGAAAAATATAAAGCTGTCCTATATACCCAATAAAAAGGTATATGTTTCTTGTGGTGCCTCTTATTACAATAAGACTGCTCTCTTAATCAGACAAGGTAAAAGAATTATTAAAGAGAATTAGAAATAGGAAGAACACTTTCTTAAGACATGATAATTACATCTAGTTTGCCCATTGGTTAAAAAAATAAAAATAAATAAATGTACCAGATGTATAATTGATTTTACAAGAAATGTCAAATCCAAAATAACCTTATCCTAGTACACGAGCTCCCATCATTGTAGGATTCGAATGCATGAAGTTTTATCGTCATATAAATAGACTCTATTTCTTCGAATAGTGACCACCAAATCCTAACAGAGCAACTTTACTATTGTGTCAAGACGTACTCAATCCAAATTAACTCTGTTATTGGAAATTATTTTTGGATGTGACCCTAAGCTAGTAATTGGAAGATTTTCAAACTTTAAAAAGAACAATCCATAGTGATTTTGTTGCTTCAAAAAATCTCACAGGTAGCTAGAGGTGTAAGCAAAATAGTATTCTATCAATAATTAATTAAATATATTACTTATCTATGTATATAAGAGATGTTGCACTCTTAGAATGAATAGTTACATATAAAGAGTTATGTTAATTGATGGAACCAACACATCTCTTCACATATGAATTGAAACGGTCCCAACCCATATTATTTATATGCTTAAGAGGCTTGGAGTCCATCGTCCAATTTTGCATACATAGAAGAGGGCTGAAGATCGTTTTCGCTGTAGTTCTCTCCGAATTGAGTTTCTATATCTAAGTATGTCTCTTCTATCAATTTATGCATTTAGATCCATGAGTTTATTTGCTTTAAAATTTGCTTAAACATCAATCATGCATTTTTATGTTGCTTGCTCAATCTCCATAGTCACCAGCAAAATTAATTTGACTTTGTATGATACTGTCATCGTTCAAAATACCTATGTTTTGCCTCTTTGGCTGCAGCGGTTCCTCTTTCTGCTGAAAATCAAGCAGACAACAGTGCTGCTGTGCTTTCTAAAAGGTTGTTTTCCTTCATGCAATTGTTACGAAATTGTTCTTGTTTGTCGTTGTCTAAAATCCATTCCATTTTTTTTTAATAGCTTTTCTTATTGATATACAGCATGCTTGAGTTGAATAGGTAAGCTATGGGTGCTATGTTCCATTGATGATCAAATCTTTCAATTAATAAAATATAAACTTAGACCAAGTCTCAATCTCTGGAAGGTTTACTAACTTTTGCCCCACTCATACTTATCTGATTCTTAATTTCGAAAAGCAATGTCAGTGTAATTTGTACGTTGGAATTTTTTAAAAATAAAAATTATTTTATGGTCTTAAGGACTATATTTTTAAAAAATAGAATTTAACATTATTATCAATAGATCTTCGAAAAATTCTCAAAAGTACTGTAATGTTTAATCATGAATCACTAATCAGGTACGATTGTTATTATTATTATTTTAAAACTCTAGTACATGCACTATTCTTGATTTCTTTAAGTTGATAATATATGTAAACATTATCTCAATAATTCTACGACACAATCAAGGAGGACAGATTCTCTAAATTCAGAGTTTTAATTATACAATGACCCTGTCATAGTATATATATTGCCAAAACGAATAGCTCTGAATACATGCATAATTTAATTCGGATGTCAGCATTTTGGCCACAGTAGAGGCATTACACTGCCATAAGCCGGCCATGCATATTCTTTATTCTTGGCATTAGAATTCTATAAATAGGCATCATTTTTCAGCTAATTCTGCACTTCAGTGAGCTACCTTCAAGAAATTCAACTACTAAAATCGAGTCAAAAAAGTCGTAATGGCATCTTCCCAGATCATTGTCAGTACCATCCTTGCAGTACTATTCACTTCTATTTCTGCAAAGGAATTTATTGTTGGGGATGACAATGGTTGGACCCCTTACTTCAATTATCAAGCTTGGGCCAAGGGAAAGGAGTTTGTGGTCGGAGACATACTAGGTACTTCAGCTTTTTCAATACTCTATCTTTACTAGTTCGTAATTCTCTATAACATTGCTTGCTATTTTGATTTTGCTCATTAAGAAAACTGCAAAATTCTAGATTGTGAAAATATTGTTTGATGACATAAATATTTGGGATGCAGTTTTCAACTATCCGGTAGGAGCGCACAATGTCTTCAAAGTCAATGGAACTGGCTTCCAAGAGTGCATAAAGCCACCTCTCAGTGAGGCTCTAACCACCGGAAGTGATGTGATCACCCTTGCCACCCCAGGGAGAAAATGGTATATTTGTGGTGTTGCCAAGCATTGTGCGGTTGGAAATCAGAAGCTCGTCATAACTGTTCTGCCTCAATCTACATCTCCAGCATATGAGTCTGCAAAGAAATTTATTGTTGGGGATGACAATGGTTGGACCCCTTACTTCAATTATCAAGCTTGGGCCGAGGGAAAGAAGTTTGTGGTCGGAGACAAACTAGGTACTCTAGCTTTTTCAATACTCTATCTCTACTAGTTCGTAATTCTCTAACATTGCTTGCTATTTTGATTTTGTTCATTAAGAAAACTGCAAAATTAATATAGATTGTGAAAATATTGTTTGATAACATAAGTATTTCCGATGCAGTTTTCAACTATCCTGTAGGAGCGCATAATGTCTTCAAAGTCAATGGAACTGGCTTCCAAGAGTGCATAAAGCCGCCTCTCAGTGAGGCTCTGACCACCGGAAATGATGTGATCACCCTTGCCACTCCGGGGAGAAAATGGTACATTTGTGGTGTTGCTAAGCATTGTGCAGTAGGAAATCAAAAGTTGGTCATAACTGTTCTGCCTCAATCTACATCTCCAATGTCAGCCACACGGCCTGCGCGAAAACTAGCTGCTGTGAATGTCAAGGAAGGATCACTGAAACGTGTGGCATTCTTTTGATTGTTTTCAGTTTTTTGTAAGTCACTTTATGTTGTTTTGGCTTGGATTTGTCAGGTTTAATTGTTGGTTTGTATTGTTGAAGTGGAATGATCGATTTACTGTTGTTCTGTTATTAAAATTGGAGTTGCCGCTTTGTGTGATATTGGATAAGGTTGCAAGATTTTATATAAATGGATATGAAGTTTAATTTCAGATGAATGGTACGTATAATTTGTCGCATTGGTTCTAAGTATTCAAGGATTATAACAAGGTCAATAAAACATAGTTACAAAGCACATCTTCCATTATTATGGAGCATCTGAGTGCTTTTAAAAGTTGGTAAAGTGAAAATATATATATATATATATATATATAAACAAACAAACAAACAAACAAACCTTTTGTAAATACATGTAAATTACTCTTTTATCGTCAATTTTGACTTTTTTTTTAAAATTAAAACTCCGAAATAATAGTGTTTTTTGAAATTAATTTTTTTTTTATATTTTTTTAATTTATCTTAACAGCATTTTAGGTATTTCAATTTTCAAATTGACAAAATATTTTTATTTACTGAATTTGAAAAAATATAGATTTTTTTTTTTTTTTTTTTTTCCAACACCAACAAGTATTTGCACATTTTGTATATATATAATAAGGTTTTTTTTGCACTTTGTCAAAAGTTAAATAATAAGAAAAAGGCCAAGATAACGTGTAATATTACAATGTAAAATAATGTTATGAATATTGATTTTTAATAAAAATTTATTTATTAAGGTCATTCGATAAAGGTTAAAAGCAAAGTATACATATATATTGATATCTGAGGAAAAAATATATATGTACAGATCTAATATGGGCCGAAGGGGCTGCTAAACCCATTACGGGCCTATGTCAACCGAACCACAGTTACCTAAAATGAAAGTAACAAGAGCAGCCCAAGCCTAAAGGCATCCTAAAGTTTAATTTAAAAGGCATTAAAGAATGGCTTTACTTGTAGTACAGCCGAAGTTCAGCCCATTCGGTGGAAGCCATCTATGATCCATCTCATGAATGGTGCAAGTGGCGTAACTCTATTCAAACGCCATTGTTTCCATTTTAAACGCAGATGAGGCAAACCTATTAGCTCCAAATTAAATTAACTAAGCGGATTAAGGTAATTAACGTGGAATACATAATTGATTGCATATTACACCCAAAGCACGAAAGAGTATAAGTTGTTATTATGTTTTCTATGATTAATTAGTCTCAAAGATGAAAGTTATTTCACTGGTGCGAGACTAACATATGATAATTTTGGCTCAAAAGAAATATTATTATATATTATTTTGATCACATTAAGAATTAATTGTTTTGAGGCATTATTTAATCAACTCTGGAAAGTTTAGTTGATTTTCCCAACAATTAAACTATAAATGTGTAACTTTAATTATTTTCAAAGTTATAATAAAATTCGTGTTAAATGTGGATGACAGTGATATTATTGTACATGAGATTAAACAATTTAAATTCTCAAACATTTGAGATAAATGTGTTGGTGAAGCCTTTTATTGGTATTAAGTTTCACCTAAATAAATTTCGTGGAATTTTGGACTGTCACAAATAACCTGCTTTGATAGAGTTATGAAAGTATTTGACATATAATACTATAAAGGTGAAATTGAACTCATTTTAAATGTGAGAATTTGATATTCCAATGGTGAGAGATACTTAGAACACTCCTTATGATTTTGTAATGTTCATTTTTTCTTTTATAAATTAACCCATTCAGGAAAGAAAAAAAAAATAATACCTAGAGTAAGATTAGATAAAAGACATTTCATATACCTTAGGGAACCTAATGTATGCTTATGTTTGGTATATGGTTAACTATAATATAGCATATGCTAGACAGAATCACAGTGATCCTAGTTTGGATATATAGTGAGCGGCAAAGAAATTTATAAGATATCTGTAAAGGATTGAGAACCATATGCTTTATAATAAGATCGACAAGTTTGGAGTGGTAGAAAACTGATTATGCTAGTTTTTCACAACAGTACAAAATCCACTTGAAGTTTTATTTTACTTTTATAATAGTTGATGGAAGCGGAATGTATTGCATGTTAAAAAGGCCATGTTTCATACCTTATAAAATATCAATTTTGAACTTCAAGTCAATAATTTCGCTACAGTCTTATATTAAAGAAACAATAAGAGTTCAAGTTTGTCTAAAATATGACCATTAATACCTTGTTGTGAAATAGAGGATTCAAAACCAGCAAGTGTCTGTTGAGCACATTGATACACAACAAAAAATTGTTGATCACATGACTAAGGGTTTGTCGTTTATGTTGTTCAGTAACATGTATGTTTTCTCTTTGACAACATTGATTTACTTTGTTAGTGGGAGGTTGTATTTGGTTCACAAAAACACTTTTATTTTGTGATCACATTTATTATACTCATTTACTAGGTTTCCATTAGTGCATGTGTGTGTGGAAAATTTGTGACATAAGTGTTCTATTTTGAGACACGGTATGTCCTTATTGAGACACGGTAGGACCGACTATTTTGAGACACGGTAAGATCGATATATGACATGAATATTGTATTAAATATATGCACATGCAATATATATGTGACTTTGGAGTCGAGTTTATTAGTATCAGTGACCATTGATGTCTTAAATCATTAATGAAATAATGATGTCCTTGATCCCATATTAGTAGACACGCCTTTGATCCCATATTAGTAGACTTGAAAGGATTTCAAAATTGAATTACAGAGGTATTACTTGTAAATAAATGGATTAATTTCTAGAAAGCACTCATGATCATTTTGTTCTTGAGGTGATCATAACTAATTATTGTTAGACTAAGTAGGAAAATGTAAGCAAAATAGTAGTCTATCAATAATTAATTAAATATATTACTTATCTACGCATATAAGAGATGTTGCACCCTTAGAAGGAATAGTCACATATAAAGAGTTGTGTTGGTTGATGGAACCAACACATCTCTTCACGTATGAACTGAAACGGTTCCAACCCTCACTATTTATATGCGTAAGAGACCTAGAAACCATTGTCCAGTTTTGCAGACATAAGAGAGGTGTTGAAGATTGTTTCTGATGTAGTTCTCTTCAAATTGAGTTTCTATATCTAGTATGTCTTTTCTATCAATTTTTTCATTTAGATCCAAGAGTTTATTTGCATTAAAATTTGCTTACACATCAATAATGCATCTTTATGTTGCTTGCTCAATCTCCAGTCACCAACAAAATTAATTTGACTTTGTATGATGCTGTCATTAGGGGTGCAACTTGTTCCCGAACCCAACCTGAAAATTTTGAAACATGGGCTTTTTAATTCACAAATCGGGTCCAATTCGGGTTGGGTTTTCTCTAAGCCCAGCCATGTTCGGGTTGGGCTCGAGCTCAACCCTAACCCAACCCAAAACCCGAAATTTAAAAAGCTTCCTCTTTTTTTTTTTTGAAAATATCTTCCAAATCTTTGATATATACGTATCTTATATATATATGTACGGTGTGTGGTTATCTTTGATATATATATATATATATATATATATATATATATATATATATATATATGTATGGTGTGTGTTGGTCTATTACCATTTTTTTTTTTTTATCACCTTCCAATTTTTTTTTTTTTTTTTCTTTCCTTCCAAGTCTTTGATATATATATGTGTGTGTGGTGTCTATATCTTTTACTAAAAATCATAATTGGTTTTGGACACACACACACACACACACACACACACACATATCGAGAAGGCTCTCATGTGGTCCACAACGACAGACTTTTCAACGGACCAAAACTTAATTAGTTAATTACACTTTATTACTTTATCAGACTTAACTATAGTTAATAATGTTAACTTTAATAATCCATTTATTCTATAACATAGATCAAATTTGTCGCCAATTCAAGACAATTTTTTATAGTTTTGATATCGACACATGAATCGATTTTTACAGCATCTGCCATTTTCTAGACCAATGAAAAGGAAGGAAAAGAGTGAAAAAAAAAACAAATATATAGAGTAAAGGCAACAATGTATTCTGGACCTGAATATACATTTACTAAGAGCCCTTCTTTATCCCATTTCTTTTGTTTTCCCCACAACAAGACTGCACACGGGAAACATAATCATGAGACTCAAATAATATGGAACCTGTTCAACTTTCCCTTTTATTTATTTATCTATTTTTTAAAATTTTTTTTTTTGTAAATATTCAAAAGCTTTACTTTACCCTCCCATTAATTTTATAATTACAATATAACATCATGAAGACCTTTAGACATCATAAAATCACGTATTTATTTTATATGTAGAAAAATAATATTTTTAATTTATATTAACTTTCAAATTTATATATTTTTTGTTCTTTTAATTCTCATATGTTGAAGAATGAATGTGGTAATTGTGTTGTGGTTGTAGTAGTGAAGATGGTGTGGTGTAGATATGGTGGTAGTGATTGAGATTGCAAGGAAGATAGAAGAGATTAAGAAGGAGAGAGATTGAATAAATATATTGACTAACTATGATAAATTGACTATTAAAGTTAACATTATTAATTATGGTTAAATCTGATAAAGAATAAAGTGCAATTAACTAATTGAGTTTTGGTCCGTTGAAAAGTCCGTTGTTTTAGACTGCATGAGAATCTTCCTGTATATATATATACACATGTGGTTGAAGAGACAATAAATGATAATAACAGTGAGGTGGCAACTGTTTTTCCTCCCCTTCTCTTTCGGATTTGCTTTCCATCGGCAGCTTGTTTTAAGGATTACTACCATGTATACTAATTGTTTTAGGGTTTTATTCAGAGTAATTTTAAAATAAAATTTTATTTAATACCAAATAAAAAAGAATTTTTTTTTTACTTTTTTATTTAAAATAAAATAATGTAAGTTTTATATTTTTGTATTAATAAAAATAAAATTAGAGTTGAAAATACATAAAAATTAATAATTGAATATTTTAGTGACAATGATGTTTCAAATTGGAAAA